TGAAGGAGTGCAATGTAATGTTATATCAAGTGTTCCCATTTACAGCATAAGTGTTGCACATGAAAGATCAGAAAAAACAATGCCTTACATATTATAACACGTCATGCCATCCTATCTTCCAGCCAATCGGATAAATACATGGTGGAGAATGGAAATCAATCCGTATCAGCTTTACTTCACCTGCTCGTACTGCTGAATGAAGATGACACGCCACATTAAGGGAAACATGGACATTTTGACATTTGCCAGAATGGTCTAATTCTTCATGTGAATTCATATAAAAATATTTAAAAAGTTGAAAAAGAAATAGCACAACAAATAGTTTTTAGAATGTTCCCTGTTCTACAAAGTTCCTTTCTAACGCTTGCTTTTCTCACTCATTCTCTTCCTATATCTTAGCCTTGGATTGTGTTAAAACATTATCGCGGCATGGGGGTATGACTTTTACATGCTTTTGGTCTTATGAATTGTGGCGAAACCAACCTCTCCACTGTGAACTGGAGAAGCCTGGTTGCTCGCCTGCTCCCTTTGGACTATGGCCCTGCAGGTTAAACCATTTATTTTCCCTGCAGAAAGGCTTATTCGTGTGATCTGAGTGCCATTCATCTAATAATGTGCGCTCAGATCAAAGCTATCTGGGGATGTGTAGAAATGTGTGTTTTATGTACTAAATGTATCAGTATGTAATTTTATGTTTTTACTGTCTTTTTGTCTGCCATGTGGGTAATGGAGTTTTGCCTCTGTCCTGGGAGATAATTAGATTCCTTCCCCAATTATCTCCAGGCCAGAGGGGAGGGATTGTGAGGCATTGTGGGAGGTAACTCATGTGTGATTGGTGTATTGTGTAATTGTTGTAAATCCCTCCCTTGCATGGGAGAATCCTTTATAAGCCTGTTGTGTGAATAAATCAGGGAGTTCCTGTTTAACCCTCAAAGTGAAGTGTCATCTCATTATTGGGGGAAGGATTTATTGTATGCTGTTCCAGTTTGACTGCTAGGAGAGTAAACCTATTCATATGGTTCCTATTCAACTGTCTACAGCATTCATATGCTTGGGAGAATTTATTTGTTTCTCCGGTTCGGTGATTGTGGTGTCTGCCAGAGTGCTTGGAGTCTTCAGGAAGCGCTAGGAGCATCCTTCAACGGAGGTACCCAGTCGGGGTGCCAGGCGATCCGTTACATTGGTGGCAAGTGACGGGATCATTCCCACAGCCCAGAAGGACAGCTACAAGGTAACACCATCCCCATGACTTACAAATCGAGGGCAGCAGTGTAAGCATGGCACCCAGCTACACTCAAGAGCAGTATGACAGAGAATTTACCACGCGGATGGCTTTCTTTGGACCCAACCCCCCGGAGAGATGCGTGCAGTTCGTAAGGAGCCAGGTAGACGAGTACCTGCAGTTCATGGCAGATCCAGCCAAAGGTATCGGCCGCCCTATCCGGTGGCAGAGTGCATTACGGGGACTCAAAAGGGTACCCCAGGGAGCTGAAGGTGTCGTCCTTCCTCCCCAGCGGCAGTGTGTATCCCAGGGAGCTGAAGGTGCCGTCCTTCCTCCCCAGCGGCAGTGTGTGTCCCAGGGAGCTGAAGGTGCCGTCCTTCCTCCCCAGCGGCAGTGGGTGTCCCAGGGAGCTGAAGGTGCCGTCCTTCCTCCCCAGCGGCAGTGTGTGTCCCAGGGAGTTGAAGTTGTCGTCCTTCCTCCCCAGCGGCAGTGTGTGTCCCAGGGAGCAGAAGGTGCAGTCCTTCCTCCCCAGTGGCAGTGTGTATCCCAGGGAGCTGAAGGTGACGTCCTTCCTCCCCAGCGGCAGTGTGTGTCCCAGGGAGCTGAATGTGCCGTCCTTCCTCCCCAGTGGCAGTGTATATCCCAGGGAGCAGAAGGTGCAGTCCTTCCTCCCCAGCGGCAGTGTGTACCCCAGAGAGCTGAAGGTGTTGTCCTTCCTCCCCAGCGGCTGTGTGTACCCCAGGGAGCTGAAGGTGCCGTCCTTCCTCCCCAGCGGCAGTGTATATCCCAGGGAGCAGAAGGTGTAGTCCTTCCTCCCCAGCGGCAGTGTGTACCCCAGGGAGCTGAAGGTGTTGTCCTTCCTCCCCAGCGGCAGAATGTCCTGCAGGGAGCAGGGACTGTCAGTCTTGCCCCCCAGCCGCAGGACAAGATAATGAAAGGGGAGACAGCTGGTCCCCCTCTCCACCAGCAGAGAGAGTGTCAGGGAGAGGAGCCTGATACCCCCTCTCCCCAGCAGCAGTTTACAGTCCAGAGAGAGGAGCTTGTTACACCCTCTCTCCAGCGGCAGCCTAACCCACCAAGGGGAGATGTTACACCCCCCAACGGTGCAGATGGGACCATAGTCTCTGTACTTGCAGCACAAGGGGTAAGGACGGTCGGTCCTGTCCCCCAGCCACAGAGCGGTATATCCAGAGGGAGACAGTCGGTCTCTCCCTCCCACAACCAGGCTCCAACCAGGCTACTTCCGCGGTAGTACTGGCACCAGGGCAGAGTACCGCTAGTCTCTGCCCACTCAGCAACCCACCAAGGCAGCCTAACAGTTCCCCACACAGTCGTAGTGAGGCACCTGGACATGGACAAAGCTCTCCTCTACCCAGGTGTAGTAACCAGTTATTGTGGGTAGGCTGTACTGCTGTTTCTGTTTTGTGGGTGGGTTGCTGGACTAACCAGGGCACTGACCGGCAGGAGGTCAGATACCCTGTTAGTCTAGTTGGTAAAGGGGAGAAGTGTGGCGAAACCAACCTCGCCACTGTGAACTGGAGAAGCCTGGTTGCTCGCCTGCTCCCTTTGGACTATGGCCCTTCAGGTTAAACCATTTATTTTCCCTGCAGAAAGGCTTATTCGTGTGATCTGAGTGCCATTCATCTAATAATGTGCGCTCAGATCAAAGCTATCTGGGGATGTGTAGAAATGTGTGTTTTATGTACTAAATGTATCAGTATGTAATTTTATGTCTTTTACTGTCTTTTTGTCTGCCATGTGGGTAATGGAGTTTTGCCTCTGTCCTGGGAGATAATTAGATTCCTTCCCCAATTATCTCCAGGCCAGAGGGGAGGGATTGTGAGGCATTGTGGGAGGTAACTCATGTGTGATTGGTGTATTGTGTAATTGTTGTAAATCCCTCCCTTGCATGGGAGAATCCTTTATAAGCCTGGTGTGTGAATAAATCAGGGTTGTTCCTGTTTTAACCCTCAAAGTGAAGTGTCGTCTCATTATTGGGGGAAGGATTTATTGTATGCTGTTCCAGTTTGACTGCTAGGAGAGTATGGTATTCGTATGGTTCCTATTCAACTGTCTACAGCATTCATATGCTTGGGAGAATTTATTTGTTTCTCCGGTTCGGTGATTGTGGTGTCTGCCAGAGTGCTTGGAGTCTTCAGGAAGCGCTAGGAGCATCCTTCAACGGAGGTACCCAGTCGGGGTGCCAGGCGATCCGTTACATGAATGATAGAAATTGTGACAAAACATGATACCGTGGAACTGGAAAATAGCAGAGTAGAATGATGTATGCCAGTGCTGCATGCAAAATCATTAAAATGACAGTCCTGCTATGAGAGAAATGTGTTATAGGGACACTATAGTCACCAGAACAACTACAGCTTATTGAATTTGTTCTGGTGAGTAGAATCATTCCCTTCAGGCTTTTTGCAGTAAACACTGTCTTTTCAGAGAAAATGCAGTGTTTACATTACAGCCTAGGGATACCTCCAGTGGCCACTCCTCAGATGGCTGCTAGAGGTGCAGCACTGTCTCCACCCTCTGCATGGAGAAACTGAACTTTCCTCATAGAGATGCATTGATTCAATTCAATTGGCCAGGGCTCTGTTTGACTTGTGCTGGCTCTGCCCCCGATCTGCCTCTTTGACAATCTCAGCCAGTACAATTGGAAAGCATTTTGATTAGCTGAGACAATGACTTCTGATGATGTCAGCCAAGCAGGCAAATCGGGGGCAGAGGCAGCAGCTGCAGACTTGAATACTAGTAAGATTTTTTTCTATATTTAGGGGGGCAGGGGGGCTAGATGGTGGTTTTAACAATATAGATTTAGGAATACATGTGTGTGTTCTTGACCCTATAGTGTTCCTTTAATATTGATGTTAATATATGAATAACATGAATGAACTCTTCCTGTCTCCAAGGGATCTTGACTAATGCACCTTTTTTTTACCAGGCAATATTTGGGGCTTTATATAAAGAACAATCATAGTTACATTGCATGCATCCCACATAGTAATGAAGAATAACCCATTTTGTGGTTATGACCTCCAATAAGAAATGCTCTAGATAATTAAATAATGACCAGGTTGAGTTATATGAGATTTATTTTTTCCTTTGCCCAGGCTTTCCATAAACAGAGGGCTGATGTAATGCTGAGCTCACTCTGCCGTGTCACTGAGCAGAAACAGAATGTCTGCTGCCTGAGTCTTATCCACCCCCAGCAATGACCAGGCAACCAGGCATTTAGAACACTACGCACTGCTGCAGAGAAGAAGAAAACACATGGAAAAATCGACTCTAAATAACCCTTTCCTGACACATATGTGCCGAATTAGGAAGGTCGTTGTTCACCACCAGGCATTGTCTCGAAGATCAGTTGCTATAAACTACTATGCCCATTATGCTCATCCAAGCACAGCTGCATACTCCTTCAAGATGTCAAAGAATCACAACAAATAATTGCAGATGAGTTTTAAACATTTTTAAGAATTATTTTGATAAATGCATTTTCTCTTGACCCATAAAGCAACGATCAGACCATAATAATTTAGTAATGTTCCATTGCTAATATAATATCTATTCAGTCTCATAACTCTTCTTTTTTCTTCTGAAAAACTATATTCAAAATTAGTAGTTCAATTATTGAATATATATATATATATATATATATATATATATATACACACTGATCAGCCACAACATTAAAGGAAAACTATAGTGCCAGGAAAACTATAGTTCCAGCGCTGATGTCCCTTGGCGCAGGCTCTGACTCAATTGACAGGGGAGACCTAATGTGGCAATGGCTATGCTCGAATTCCGGATTCCCCCATAGGACAGCATTATACAATGCTTTCCTATGGGCTTTCGGGTGACACTGGACCAGGGCCGGTGCAAGGATTTTTGCTGCCCTAGGCAGAAGAAAGATGGGCTCTGGCTGCAGTCTGGCTCCACTGGTCTGGTGTAGAACAGGATCTCTGGAGGCTGTTTGTAACTGTGGTCACAAAATTCAATGTTCTGGGAGAACGGGAAGCAGCTCAATTTTTTGGGGCCTCTTACATAGCTCAAGGTCTGGGCCCCAGGGCCTGACGGTGAGTATGCCCATAAAGCCCACCCATAAGTCCACCTACATGTTCCACCCATGAACTCACAGGGAGTAGAGTGTGTAGGGGATGTGTTATGTGTTACTGTAGAGGATCTAATGTGTGTGCTTATGGAATGTAGTGTATAGAGATACCAGTTTGTGTAGGTGATGCAGTGTGTTTGTGTGTAGTGGAAGCAGTGTGTTTTTGTGTAAGGGATAGAAAGCAGTGAGCGTTTGTGTATAAGGGATGTATTGTGTGTTTCTTGTTGTGTGTAAGGGATGCATTGTGTGAATCTGTGTTTGTATGCATAAGGGATGCAAAGTGTGTTTCTGTGTATGTAAGGGGTGCGTTGAGTGTGTGTAAGAGATCCATTGTGTTTCTGTGTGTGTGTAAGAGAAGCAGTGTGTGTTTGCATGTGTGTGTAAGGGTTGCATTGTGTGTTTCTCTGTGTGTAAGGGAAGCATGTTGTGTTTCTGTGTGTATAGGGATGCATTGTGTGTGTGTGTGTGCGCGTGGTGTGAAAGAGCTCCCTGTCCTGCCCCCTGTCCTATAGAGCTCTCCCTTCCATTCCTTAGAGATCTCCCCTGCCCCTTAGTGGTCTCTCCTCTCCCCCCCACCTCCCTTAGTGGTCTCCTTTTCTCCCCGACTTTCCATTAGTGGTCTCTCCTCTCCCCCCACCCTCCCCTAGTGGTCTATCCTCCACCCCCCTCCTTTAGCAGTCTCTCCTCACACCCCTCCCCTAGTGGTCTCTCCACCGCCCCCTCCCTCCTTTAGTGGTCTCTCCCTCCCCTACGTTCTCATCTCCCACCCCCCATGTTCTCCTCTTATTCCCCCTCCCCGTGTTCTCCTCTTCTTCTCCCCCGTCCCTGTAATCTCTTCTTCTCCTCCCTTGTAATCTTCTCTTCTTCTCCCCCCTCCCTGTAATCATCTCCCCCCTCCCTCCCTGTAATCTTCTTCTTCTCCCGCCTCCCTCCAATCTTCTCCACTCCCTCCC